CCACACACTCTCTTGTACTCTCTGTCTCTCTCTCTCTCTCTTTCTGAAGCTCTCTCTTGGCTACTCTCTTTTTCGGATGTGACGTTGTTGTTACTCTCCCAACTCCAGCGCGTACTCTCTCTCTCCTTGCTCCTTCTCCCACTCTTGTGCTTCCTCTGCTTCTTTCCTCCCAACGGCAGCGGCTACTTCTCTCTGTCTCTCTATGTATTCTTTTTCTTTTTTGTTGGCTTTTTCTTGTATTTTATTTTATTTTATTTTATTTCTTTGTTGGTATTTTCAGTAACTTTTTCCCGATTCCGCTTTGGGTCCACATTCGCTGTGCTCGCAATTCACCGAAAAAACCGAGCACTCCGACAGCCAACAACCAACAACAACAACAATAAGTCGCACGCAATTATCCTGTTTAGGCACTCGAATCATTTATTCAATTAAGTTTTCATTGCTGGCTTATATTACTTTTTTTTTTGTGTTTGCTTTTCTATGAGAACCTTTGCGGGCCTTTACTACTCCCTCTCCTTCTCTCCTTCACTCCTAGGCCGCTGCCGTTACCCCGGTCTTTTCCCCCGGTCACCCGCACAAATCGGTAATGTAGGAAATTATACAACCGACGCCGCGTTGAAAGGATGCTGCTGCCTGCCTGCTTCCAAATTTATGTAGCACTCGCGATATTCAGGATTCGGGATTTTTGTCTCGATTTAAACGATTTTCCATTTACTGCGCCCTGCGGTATGCAGCGATTTATTTATTGCACAATTGATAGAAAGATTCTTTCGGTAATTTTCGTTTGCTTCTGTGTGTGTGTTTTTTTTTTTTTTGGTGTGTCTGCTTCTGTGTGTCTCTCGCTGCGTGTGGCAGAGTCAAAGTGTTGTCGTTTACTCCCGAGCCAAGGCTGGCTGTGTGCGATGCCAGGCCATGAATTTTTCATGCATTCTTATTAGAGATTTTCGTCCCCATCGCTATTGAGATTGCTCCTCCGCGCAGAGGCAGAGCACACACACACAGACACACACGCAAAAAGCATCCAAAAAGAGAGAGAAACAAATCAGAGAGAGAGAACGCGCTTTTTGGGGAGGTTTATTTCACATTGGAAATTGTTTTTGTGGGTGGTGTGGCGCATTTTTTGAAAGAGATTTTGGAGATCTATAAAATATGCTTTGGGTTCTCTATAAAAGCAGAAATTCTCTCTCGCATTTTCTTTTTATTTTTAGAAGAAGAATTTTTGTTCTTTGTGTGCGCTTTTGGGGGGTTGTTTGTTATGTGGGTGTGGGTGGTGGGTGGTGGCGGTGGTCGGGATTGGGATGAGGGCGTATGGCATGCGGCGGCTTTCTGTGGGGGTGGCTTTATCTGTTTATTTTTCCGCTCTTCTCGCACAGCTTTTCTATTGTCAAGCCTTAGCTTGTCACTTTGACATTTCACTCAGCTGGAAAGCGAGCGAGAGAGCGTAAGAGAGAAAGCGAAAAGTTCTCTCTGCTCGGAGAAGAGTTTAAACTTTCTCTGCTGCTTCTTTCTGGCTGGTGGTTGTAGTTTTGGCTTAGCTTTGGGAGTGTAAGCACGCGGGTTGTTGTCCTGGCTATTCGTAACAATATCTGAGCTCGCCGCAAAGAGCGAATTGAAGTTTCTACAATTGGTTCTTGGATCCTAGGATATTTTATTAGGATAGGATATTTATTCTAGCGCAGCACATGAAAAGGCACAGAGAAATATGAAAGCATAATAAATTGCATAACATTTAGGAGCATTTCCGATACAACTGTTTCCATGGCCACCAGTCGACAATGGGAATAGGCGACGGAATTGTAGGAACCTTCTTTTTATGTCGTCAGGGATTCCTCCAACGTTTTTTTAATATGATAAGATTTAATTGTAAGAAAAGAAAACTAACAAAATTTGAATATTTTTTTTCCTTCATGCCGTTTTTTTTTGCACTTTTTTATAATTAATTTTAAATATTATTGTATTGTGGATCCGACATATTTACTGATAGACCTTAGATAAACAGAACTAAATTTTATTAAATTTTCGGTTTTGAAACCTTTTTTAAAGGTATGGACCCAGTTGGGAAAAATTTAAATTCTGCCTAAAAACCCTGAAAAATTAATTTTCTAGTTTTCAAATTCAGTGAACATTAAAATTACTTAACTCTAGAACTCTAGAAGGACAATCAGTATGAAATAAAAACTATTTCATTTATGCCATAGATGGCTTCTATCCGCTCCAATCCTTTCCCTAGCTAATAATTGGAATATATTCCCCTATGCTTAAATATTCCCATTTCCACTAAACAAAATTCAATGGACCGAATGTTGGATATAAAAGCAGCCAGAAAAAAGCCCCAAACCCCAAAAGAAATGAACCAAAAACAAGCATAACTTGGATTGTTGGTTAAACAACAATAGAACAACAGTAGAAATATTCAAATAAATCGGCATGCTTATACGCTGCTCCATACTCGTCGTACTACGCGTATAAACACAAGTACTACGCGTAGTACGTCAATACAGCCAATAGAAATACACTGGGGGGGCGGCAGCTGTGCAGCTGATTACGGGAGTCGAATCGAATCGAGTCGAGGTAAAGGCAAACAACAAAATTAAATTATACTACGATTATACGATTGGTATACACTTTGATGCGATTTTATTTACCCAACATTCCCCTCTCTCACGAGCGGGGATAGGACATTTGCCTTTTGCTGTTTACCATTTACCTCAGCCTGCAGCAGCAGCAGCAGCAGCAGCGGTAGCAGCATCTGTGGAACAGTCGTCGCACAGTTTCCTACCACCCCCCCCCCGCTGAAGCTTTTCCTCTCCCCCGCTTTAATTGCGCCACTCGTCGGGGCATCTGTTGTGGGGTCGTGGGATTGCCCTTCGTCTGGTGTCCTAGCCCAAGTCTTTCTTCTGCCTGCTGTGACTTTTCTTTGGTTATATATTTTTTTTTTGTTAAAATATAATCAATAAAAAGCTCAATGACGTCAGTCGTTTATACACACACACATACACATACACACACGCAGATAGAGATACAATGTAAGAGAACGTAGGAACGGCTGCTGCTGGCCACGCTTCAGGCTGCCACAGACTCCCACTCCTTACTCCCACTTCCGCTTTCCACCCTCTCCACATATTTCCGCAGGAAATCAAATTGCGCTCTCGCCTGGCTCCCTCTCGTGTTTGTGTTTGTGTGTGTGTGTGTGTGTAAGGGTGTCTCTCCTTTGGAGCCGAAGACATCGCACGTGAACAGGCTATCAGGAATCGTTCTACAAAAAGTATCTTTCTGTGTTCTGTTTCTGTTTTGTGCTGCCTTTAGATAAGCAGCAACTAGGGGGGCGTGCTACGAATGGGGTTAGGAGCTAGGGGCTAGGGGTTGGGTCATGGGGTGACAATTTACGCTAAATCTTATGATGGCTGCGATAAGCTGGGACTGAAAAGCGGCCAATGACAAATGAATTCAACAGCGTACAAAGTGCAAAATGTCTGCTATGTTGGGGGGTTCTTTTTAGGGAAGATATTTTTTGATATCACGTGATTTTTTGTATGAGATATTTAAGAGGTAAGAGGTATTTTTTCGAGGGATTTTAAAGAGAAAAGACAACACTCGTGACTGAATTTCAATGAACAAAACGAAAGATATTTTAAGTATAATATAATATAATATTTAAATAATTCGAACTATGAATTAATACAAATTCCCAATGATTACAGCTCTGAGCATAACTATAAGTGTGAATAACCCTTTATAATTATATTTTCTTTATCCACCCGTACATGCTCAATATCCCAAAGTAAATAATTACTTTAAAGTCGAATTTAGTACGATTTGTGCCTTGCCTTGGTGCACAAATGATGTTTAATCAAAAATGTCTAAGCTCTTGCATTCTCTATCAAAAATCTCTGCCCAAGCACACACAAAAATCCCCGTCCTCACTCTCTGATTAGCGCTCGTAAGTAGGCGATAAAAAGTGATGAGCTGCCCCTGTGGCAGTTCAAGAAAAATGCATTGGAGAATGGTTTTTGTTTTGGCAAAAGGATGCCCCCCCATATCTTCAAGAAACAACAAAAAACAACCACGCCAGAAGCCAAGCGTAACTAAAGAATTTTTGTAATTGTTATGAATATGCAACATGATGGTCGTGCCCCCAAAAATAACTACATACATATATGAGACATGTAATGTGCCTCCAAGGGATAGTCATTCCCCCGCCCCTCCCACAATAAGTAGTTGTGGTAGGGTGAGCCAAGGGGTGTGGGTGTTGGGGGAGCGAACATTTATTCCAGCAGTTAGTTTGTAGTAGGTGTTAAAATTGCACATGAAATATGAAAAGCCACTCATAACTGTATTCACACACACACACACATGGCAGCCCTTCACTTATACTGCAATCACACGCACACACAGACCAGGGAGAGAGAGATGTGCTCCCACTTGAATACTGAGGGGACATGGACATGTGCTCCCTGTTTCCCGCATAAGAAGAGGAGATGTGTCACACACACTGTGACATGTGCTCCCTGTTTCAGACACACACACACACACAATGACAAGTGCTCCCTCTTTCGAGCATACATAAAGGAACATCTGCAGAGAGAGAGAGAGAGAAAAACGTGCTCGTAGGTTAACAACTCCAGCGGACATTTCACCACAGTTAACCAAATGAGAGAGCAACACACACGCCACCACAAAGCGCCAGAGAGAGCGGCGAGCATTAACCAGAGAGACAGAGCGAGAGATGAGCACCTTGTGAGAGTGAGAGAGAGGGAGGAGAGAGAGAGAGAGAGTAACTGTGAACCGTGAACTGCTGACGACAATCAAAATCCAAGCGTCGGCGGCGCCGTCGTCAACGTAGGTGGGCATCGGTCGTGGGCATCGTTCGTGGGCATATCGCGCTTCCCTCAGCTTCAGCTTCAGCTTTAGGTTCTGCTTTCAGTCGTTGTCGTGTCGTCGTGATGTCGTCGTTGCCGTCGTCGCAGTCGTTGTCGTTGTCGTCGTCGTCGTTGTCGTCGCAGTGGCAGTTGTTGTTGTAATCCATAGCAGCAGCAGCAACAGCAACAGCAGGCAGGCAGCTGGCGGGGGGCAGGCAGGACTTCAAGCTTCATTCAACAACCAACAAATTAACAGCAACAATAACTACAGCAGCAGCAGCAGCAACAACAATAACAGCCGCAACAACAGCAGCAGTTACAACAACAACAACAACAAAAACAAAATAAATAAATAACCAAAAATATTTAACTCAAATTCAACAATGAAAATCTTGAAATCAGAATAAAAATTTTGTATGCGCATATGGAATGCACATACGAGGCAAAAACACGGCCTTATATATAGAGAGATATACACATAAAAAATATATACATATATATATATATATAGATATATATTTGCCTATGTTATACACACACAAATCTATATAGAAAATCTAAGTGCAAACCAATTGTGATTTAAGCTAATGACAGCAACTACCAAAAAAAATAGCTAAAAAAACAAAAACACAGTAAAAAAAAACAACCAACCAAACCAAACCAAAAAGTGTATTAAACGTAAGGCAACAAAAACCAATTAAATTTTCGTTCTTTTATTTTTTTTGTGTAGGGTTTTTCCTTGGTTTTTTCTTTTTTTTTCTTTTCTGTACACACAACGCCACGCAATCCCACACAAAAAAAAAAAAAAGAACAGAGGAGAGGAGAGCAGCAGCAGTAGCACTCCGCTCCAAAGCTCCTCTCTCTTCACTTCACTCTATTTTCACCCCTATGCTCCTCCACACTCTCTTCGCTCTCCGTTTGTTGTGTGTGTGTATGTGTGTTGGCCATGATCTCGTCTCTTGTCTTGCTCTTGCACTCATCGTCAGTGCGAATGAGCGCATTTCATATGCAGAAAAGTAAAGAACAACAAAAAAAAAGAAAACATGAACGAACACACACACACACATACACGTAACGGTTAAACGGTTTCATCCTTGAGAAAGGCAAGGGAAGCTCTTTTGAATAGAAAAATTTCATTAAGCAAATGTCGGCAAATGGAAAATTTGTGCACTAGAATTTGAAAAAGGAGGGAGTCCCAAGTCCCAAGGAAATTAATCAAATTTTTGTGTAAAAACAAAGAAAGGAAAAGACAAAAGAGAGTGAAAAGGAGTAAACGAAAAATAGAGAGACAGAGAGAGGGACAGAGAGGGAGGCAGAGAGCAGTCACTCACTCATCGCGTTAAAGTTCACCACACAAGCAAAAATAGTAACAAAAAAATCAAACAAAATAGATAAAACAAAGATTTATAGTTAAAGAAAAAAAACTTAATTAAATATTATTCCCAGCGAACAACAACAAAAAAATAACAATAAAATGTAAAAAAAAAAAACATTTTAAAATCACAGTGCGTATGATTGATATGCGCTAACCCCCATGATGGTTGGCCTTTGAGCAGCAGAAACGAAACCCAGTATCCAATCCACACACAGAGTCGCCCCACAATAAACATCCCAGTATTTCCTGTCAGCTGCATTGGCGCTACTCTCTCTCTCTCACTGTCGTTCTCTCTCTCTCTCTCTGTGTGTTACAACAATAGAAGACAGAGGCAGACATCAGGAGGCAGGCAGCAGGCAGCATGCAACATAATTACAACTCAACTTCAAAGTTTCCTCTTAGACGTCAATCGAAGCTGGCGAAGGCAACAACAAATTCCCACAGAGAGACAGACGGGGCGGAGAGAAAGAGATAGATAGCTAGTGTGTGTCATAAATAATTCAAATTAATTTATAAAAATATTATTTTACCGTTTCTCAACAAACAAAAAATAGTGACATAAACAAATATACAACAAAATATCTAAAAACCGAAAGCCATAAAAAGCATTGTAAATAGCAAACAAAACAAAAACAAAATAAAACAAAAATCCAACTGAAAATTCTTATATGCAGCATTGCTTTTACTACGAGTATAACTACCATTAAATTCTAAACTTCAAGTATATAAACAAGTATCTCAAAACAAACAAACAAACAAGCAACAATTTTTCTAATTGATAAAACCAAAGAAAGAGAAGAAACAAAAAGCTTAAAACAAACAACGAATGAACAGACAACGCCGTTTACACAACTCTAAAACCAAAACCAAAACAAAACTTGATTGAGAAATGCATGTAAGTTGGGGGCACGAAGAAAGTTTGACAGATTTTCAAGAAAATTATGACTAAATTTTGTAGAAATATTTGAAGAATTTATGAGAAATATTTAGTGCATTTCGGAAAAATATTTAATGGATTTCTGAACAAAATATTTATAATTTTAAGAATTGAAGCTGAAATTATAATTTCTAAGTAATTTGTAACTAAATGTTGAACAGAATTGTGGGGGGGGGTTACATCTTCGCTATAGACTTCATTTGGTCATTCGCTGAATTTTCTGTGCTCAAATAAGGTGGACTGATAAAAGGATTACGTACAAAGCTCTACTTATGAGGGTTCTTTCCACTAGTGGCTGTTAATTAATTGATTTATGAATTATTTAATTTATTATTATTATTATTTATTTATTTTGGTTACTTTGCTTCCACAGTTTTCTTGCTATTTTAGTTGATTTCATAACATAAGTAATCGTAAAATGTTTACTAAGTTTATTATCTCCATAAGGATAACCCTCCATCTATATCTCATGAACAATAAGTGCAACACAAGCCAACAGCAACAAAAATCAAGAACCTGCAACAGCAATTGCCTCCTCCTCCCCCCCTCAGAAGAAGAAGAAGAAAATTCTAAACAATGGCCAAGAAATTGCCACCTTTTGTTGCCTTTTGTTGCTGATCTGGCTATGCTTCTCTGTTTACTGGGCAATAATGAACGGGAGGAAGGGTGACTTAAAGGAGGTTTTGCCTACATCGATGGGCGTCAAATTTAATTAAAAGGTAAACTAGTTACGGAACACAGCAAAACAGCAACACGAGAGGCGATGAGGCAGCAACAGGCAGGCTGGCTGGCAGTCAGGCAACGGTACACAGCCCGAATCGATTTTCTTTTCGACTTGTCCGATGGCAAATGGCAAACGTCACTAGGCAACAAGGCACGGCAGGGGGTAGAGTGTGGTTTTAGACAAATGATTTGTAATGACGACACACACACACACACACACAAAAACAGACACAGAGACAGACAGAGAGAGAATAAGAGACCTAAATGGACGTCATAAATGTTTGACAATGCACACAGGGCGTATGAGTAATGGCAATGGTTGCCACCCCGCATCACTCTCTTTGTATGCAATTGTATGTATGTGTGTGTGTGTGTGTGTGGGTGGACATCACTATCCACTGACACAGCGCACTTTGCACCCTCTTCTGCTGCTGGTGCTGTTCCCCTTCTGAGGGTCAATGGGTGCATAAAATTGCTTTTTATGCTTCGATGTCATTGCCTCTTTTGACATTCTGTTCGAGTGGCAGCAGCGTAGGCAGGGACGGGGACGGGGACGGCGACACCAATTGAACACATGGCAGTAGACTATGCCTCTTGTTGGACCAACTTTCAGCATCCTCTGTGGCCCTCCTGCGCGCACCATTGACAAATTTTTGTGTCGTGCATTTGTTTGCCGTTAATTGCATGGAAATTGTGCAGGCAATTGAAAAAGTTGAACGGGAAACAGGATGGGTAGGAACACAGGCAGCAGGACATTCATTTGTTTCAGAGGTTTCCCCTTGCAGCAACAACAAAAGGAAGAGGACACCACACCGTCGGCGAGTGGAGCAATGAGTGCAATGACTTTTGTGCTACGAGTATGAATGAATAAATATAATTATATGCCCATTTGAAGCCGCCCAGTGTGTTGTCCGAGTTGCCACTGAATGCAAAATGGTCATTAGTCAGAGGGGCACTCAAAAATAGTACGGAGGGGTGCGGAAAGGGTGCTTTTGCTTTTTGGCAGCCAAACGGCAAAACAGCTACAAGAGTCGCCAAGTCATTGCCTCGTTTATAGTTTTTGGCTTTGGCTTTGGCTTTGAATGTGGTGTGGCTTGGCCACGTTTTCTTTTCTTTCCCAAGACTCATGAGTGTGTGTGTGTGTGTGTGTGTGTGTGTGTGTGTGTGTCGTCAACCCAAGTGCCGCCAAGTCGTTGCCCAAAAGTCCATTGCACCCATTGACGGGGGGCTATATGACGGGCATGAGAATTTAGTTTCAGTTTTTTTTTCTTTTTTTGCATAAATTTCTCACACACAGCACAACACACGCCAGGTGACGTCACAGTGTAAAACTGAAATAAGATAAGAAATAAACGTTGTAAAGAGAACACCCCACACCCCCCTCCCCCCTGTTGACAGGTGTGTGATGTCAGCTGATAAATGACCCAGTTCCAGTTCCATCCTAAACACTCGAACAACTAGTTGATGGTTTACTTTTGCCCTTTGGCCGCCAAAAAAAAAAAAAAACACGCTGGTTGGGTTGGGTTGGAAAATGCAGAACTACAAAGACTGAAAATAGGGGAATTTTAACTGAAGGAAAAATAGGGCAAGGGAAAAGGGCTAACATTGGAGTGAAAGTTTTAGGGGTGGGGCGGGGCGTGTGGTCTATATATATATATATTGAAAAGTAGAGGGGAGGATAATGAAATAATTTGCAAAGGAAGTTTTTTAATTAAAGAAGTGAAAAACCTGTTGCTAGGAAACTGTAAGATAAGTTTGGGACAAGGGAATAAATATAATAAACATATAATAATAAAGGACTAAATATCAGATAAGTCAAATTAAAAAAAAAAAGGGATGGCGAAAAATACAAGAAAATACTTAAGTGGTATGGAAATTAATTGAAAGCTTACGGCACTCGTTATGTGGCAGCAAAAGCGTTGATATATTGATGAAAGTTAAATATAAAATGAAATTAAAAGAGTAAAAATAATACAGTATGAGGGTAGGATTAGGATAGGGTACTCGTTTATGTATAGAAGATTTGCTACTGTTTAGTCAATGGCAGAAATAGTTTAATGTTTGTCTTAAAACAAGTTTTATTTTTTTTGTCAGAAGACTCGAAATGAAATACAATAAAACACACTTCTTTCTGCTGAATGAATGAAGAGAATAAGAAAGAAGCTTATTCTGTAGTTTCCAAAAATTGTATAGCCCATGAAGTTCAAGCGTTTTAGAGTAATTCAGTTAATTAATTAGTTTGCTATAAACGAAAGCTGTAATGAAAATAGAAAATGAAAATATGCCCTGAAAATCCAGATTTTATATTAAGATTTATATTTTATTTAATTGCATTCTTGCACCTTAAAGTATCCGAAAATAGCCATGTTTCAAGGTAAATAGATCCTAAGACCATAGCTTAAGTTATTTTTATCTCAGTGTGCTGCTCCGCCACTCCTGCACACTTCCAAGAAATATTCGTAATTTTCCTTGCCATCGTGGGATATCAAATGGCATTTTCCCATTAAATGTGTATTTATACGCTTGACTTGACTTTTTGGAATAGTCTGAAAATAGCAGCTAATCTTTTTTTACCAAGAACCGACAAGTATCCAGCACCCAGGACCAAAGACCCAGGACCATTTTCTCTGATTGCTTTGCATTACATTTATTTTCTTTCTTTTCTCTTTCGTGTTTTTATACCCGTACTCAAAAAAGAGTTAAGGGGTATATTAGATTTGTGGTAAAAGTGGATGTGTGTAACGCAGAGAAGGAAAATTTTCCGACCCCATAAAGTATATATATTCTTGATCAGCATCAATAGCCGAGTCGATATAGCCATGTCTGTCTGTCCGTCCGTCCGTCCGTCCGTCCGTCCGTCCGTCTGTCCGTCTGTCCGTCTGTCCGTCTCGATGAGCGCCTGGATCTCAGAGACTATAAGAGCTAGGGCAACCAAATTTGGTTTCCACACTCATGTAATATCACACTGCTACAAGTGTATTTCAGAATTTCGCCCCGCCCCCTTCCGCCCCCACAAAGGACGAAAATCTGTGGCAGCCACAATTTTAAAGATACGATAAAACTAAAAACGCAGTATAGTAGAGAATGCCCATATCTACCAGATTGCCGAATCTGAATCAGATCGGATCATAATTATAGCCAGAATGAAGAAATTAATTTTCAGTTGCTTCCCTCCCCCTCCTCCAACAAACGACAACGCAACTAATTTTCCTTCTCGCTCGCACAATCTGCCGCGTTCAGTGCGCGAGCAACCCCTAGCGGAGGAGATGTAGAATCTAAATGGTACATGTACAATCTACATGTTAGATGTAGAATAGACATTGTAGATGAGATGTAGATAACAAATGTAGCAAAAAAATGTAAAATATAAATTTTTTTTTTAATTCTAAAATTCTAAAAAATCATGCTCAAAAATGTATATACTGACTGAGTACGGGTATAAGTAGAGTCGCGTCCCCAGAAGCGACTCACACGTTCCTTCTCGTTTTTTTTATAATTCCAACAATTTACATTATTCTCGTTTTTTTTTTTTTTGTTGGCAAGCATTTTGCATGTTGACCTTTTGCTGTATGGTTTTCTTGTGTTGCACTGCCCCTTTCTCATGCCCACTCAAGCTGCCCCCACTGTTGCTGTTGGACATTTCAAATGCATTTTCAATGCGGTTTCGCTGTTGCCTCTTCTCTGCTGATTGCGGTGGCTAATTGAAAGTGTCAATTATCAGCTCGGGGGGGGTGGAGTAAGCGGAACAAGCAGCAGTTGCAGCAGGAGCAGCAGCACTGGCTGTGGCTGTGGCAGTGGCACGTTGGCAGTGAACTTTCACATTTGTGTTGTGTTGTGTTGTGTTGTGTTGTGTGTGTGTGGGGGGCTAGCAAGCGCCGTATGTGAGCTATTTGCTTCACTCGTAGGCGGGTAGCGGGGTCGTATGCGTAATGTGGCATAACCTTGGCTAATGACCAGAGGGAGCTAAAGAACTGACCTCCTTGCTGTGCGGCACAGTTGCCACTTGCTGCCTGCTGCCTCCTTTGATCCTATCCATTATTATGATTATTATAATTTATCCTTGTGCCTGATAAGTTTTTCCTCGTCTTCCGTCTGCCAGCGCTTTGGGGGCTTTCCTTTCCATCTACTTCTTTCACTTTTGGTTGTTCGGTCAGCGCGAATATATTTCTATCTACTCGCGCCATGAAGTAAACGGCAGAGGCAGTGGGGGAAATTAATACAGGGAATACAGGGAAATTTATTGGGTCTTTTTCTCTCACTTCTGTCTCGCTCTCTCTTTGGTGGCCATTCGCCCTCGCAAGCGCGCGCATTGAGAGATGCCTCGTGGTGAATTGTTAATGCTCCGCTCTTCCTGCCCGTGACTTCAGTTGTCTGCCCCTCTCTTCTGACACTCTAACTCTCTCTCACTCACTCTCTCTCTCTCTCTCTCTCTGTTTTACTGCTCTCTCACTGCTGATGCTTGTCTATTCATGATTTACTTTATTTATTTGTTTATTCAACTAATTAAATAAAGTTTTGAATACCAGAGAATGAATATTCATTTGCGTGATTTATGCATTTACGAAACCAGACAACAAAAACATAAAGATTAATAAGGAAAAACAATTTCAATTGAAAAATCCATCTATGGCAATATTAATACCAACAATATGCTTTTTTTACTATAAATATTTCACTGCTTAGAGAAAAATGTTGGCATTCCAAAGGCTATAGTTATATTTAGATTATTTTTGTCTCAAGCAAATGCAGTTTAATATTCCCATTTAAATGGAAACCGTTTGCAAGGTTTTGTCTTTAAAATATTATGCGAAAATTCTGTAGATATAAACTTACATTAAATTAAATACGCAAAAGCCTGCTGCTGGCTTAACATTTAATGTTGTTTTAATGTACGTTCCGTGGGCTCCCTCGTTAGCCATTCAGTATGCTGGTGTCCTGGTGTCCTGGTGTCCTGATTCCATACTCGGTATCTGGTGGCATAAAGCAGCCACTTAAGTCTCACACAGCTGCACCCCCCCCAAAACCAGAGAACCAGAGCGCCCAACCCGAACGCCCAACGCAGTCATCAATTTTGCATGGATGTTGTCGCTGTTGTTGTTGTTGCAGGGCGACATGCTGCATTTGCTGCATTATCAATTCATGAGCCACAGGGAGCACAGGCCTGGATGACTGAATATATAGCCTGGAGCTGGAGCTGGCACAGCCACAGAGACAGACAGAGGCAGGCATAAAGAGCTGGGCCCATAAACACCACTGGAAGCTGCTGGATTTTATCTCGCTTGAACTACATAAGTTATGGGCCAAGAGAAGGAGGGTTGGGGGGGGGGGGCATGGGCCATGCCGCTGATCCACATGTGTAAGACCCTAAGGATAAGACAGGAGCAGCAAGCATCAAGCAGCCAGCATCCAGCAGCAAACAGCAGCCATAAACCCGCAATATATATCCATTCAGATGAGCAAATCAATTGGTGTTTCGTTTTGTTTGTTTTTCTTGCATTTTGATGTGTGCCATGAATGAAATTTAATTAAAAGTGAACGCGACTGAACGAGATGTGCTTGCCAGCCTCCCCCTCCACCTCCCCCCTTTTAGTGCCATCTCTGAACTGGCCAAGCAGCTGCAATATTAATGCAATCAAAGCTGCTGCCTGCTGCTGCAAATGCTGTGGTTGTGGGGCACAGCAGCTGCTGCTGAGGCTGCTTCTAATCCTCTATCTAAGCTCCTGCCTGGCCTCAGATTAGAGGTCGATATCCTCTCTCTCTCTCTCCCCTCGCCCTGCTACTTTTTGCAAAGTTTTTCTTTGCCTTTTAACTTTATTTGAATTCTATTGAAGTTTTCCCTTCCTTGATGGGATTTAATTACGTTAAGGGACGTCGATTGCTTCCTGTCGTACCCGTGGCATAAGGAAATGGGGCACATGAAAGCTTCTTGCTGCCGTTGCCGTTGCTGTTGCCGTTTCCTAAGTAAAGTGTCTGCATCCGGTTGCATTTTGCACTTTTATGCAAGTGGCAGCCCCAATCCCCGATCCCCACCACCACATCGTTTACCCCTTACCAATCAGCAGGAGGTGGTGTGGGGTTTGTCAACATAAATAGCAGCACCGCACCGCAACGCACCTCCCCCATCACCATTCCCATTCCCCTTCATCGTCTCTTCCGTCTGGCCAGGCAATCTCCTCTCCTCGTTTATGCGTGGGGCGTTATATCTAGTATATGGGTGGGAGGGGCAAGTAGGGGGTGAGCGGATGGCCTCGTATATATTTTCGCATTTTGTACGTGCGTCACCGTGTCAACCGCAATGTCCTCTCGCTAGCCCCTACGCAACCCCCTCACTCGCTCGCAGGGACACTGTGATGGGACCCAGCGACCCAGCGACCCACGACTACGACTACTTGCCCTGGCCCGTTTTGCGGCTGGGTTGGTTGTTTGCCCTGGCACGTTGATGGCCATACATAAATACAGTTACATATGTTTGCATTGCGGCCAGATACTTCACCGCCACTCCACTCACCCGCCTGGCAGGTCCCTTGCCTGGACCCACCCTACTCATCTCGTTAAAATTTCTCATTTCCGTTAGTTTGGTTGTTGCTCTTGTTGTACTCATTTTTTCACATTTATATTTTGAAATTTGTCTTTCACATTGCATTTTACGTTTTACGAATTTTAATTAAATGGCCAGCAAATAACAAAAACAAAAGTAGAGCTGCCTGCTTTTTGGGCTGCAAATTAAATGTTTTGTAAACGTGTTGCAATTTCGGCAAATACAAAAAAAGAGTGAATTTTATGTTTAGTAGATAATTGGGAAATGAAATCCAAGATAATTAAGTCCCTTTTTAGCACTGCCAGCTTTGGGAAATTTTCATGAAAACTTTTGCTATGTTTTCGTTTATATTCATTCTCTGAATTTTGAGCTGCATTACTGGGAAAGATTTTATGTGCCAAATAAATACGATTAGACTTTCAATGAGGAATGAAATTAATCTCTGTGCTTTATATGCGCAGCTTGTTTTTCCAGAAAAAAAAATAGTAAACTGAAATGGAGTAATACAGAAATTTCGTACCTTTTTTTCTCACTATTTTTCGTTTTAAAATATCCATTAGATGAAGCTCTCTCTTTTGTTATGTTAAAACTCAGACATAAAACTCTATTTTCGGCTTATTTTTATTTTAGTAATTTATATGTTCCATTTTGTTTTACTTGTTCTGCTTTTGGAGTGCATTTTGAAGAGATAACTTTTTCTTAAAGAGATATGTAATTTGTAGCCTAATGGGAAAAAATCCATTAATTTTAACTCTCTCTAAAAAAATACTTAAAATAAATTCACAGTCGTTCCTTTTACTATTTCTATTTTCTGCACTTTGATGAAAAACCTGTAGAGATCAATAGTAAAAGTAATTGATATACTCGTAAAAATCCTCGTATAATCTTTTGCCCCATTGTTTGCCACATTTTTTGGGGCACTTCAAAGGTGACTTGTGCATAGATTAAAAGCATAAATTATATGACATTTCTTTGCTTTATTTTTAAAGAGACTTTAAGCATTTTTAAATCCTATAAAACATAGAAAATTTCTCATTATCTAACCCTTTACTTCTTCTGTGTTTTTGCAGTGCTAAACAACTTGAAATTTACAATTCCCCTGGGTACCGAGCGGAGTGGAGTGTGGCGCCTGTAAATTGGAAAGCAAAAATGACGCAGCCACGCACAAGGCAACATCTACAGCAGCAACAGCAGCAGCAGAAACAAAAAGAGAAAAAACAACAACAGCAACAACAACAACAACAAGAACAAATGCAACAAAATATACAACAACTTAAACAAGAACAAAAACTGCAATTAGAGTCAACTACAAAGGGCCGGCAACGATACAGAGTGGTGGCAATAGAGGCAGCAGCAGTGCCAGTAGAGCAAAAATGAAGCAAAAACCAAAGGAAGAAGAAACGAAAAATTTTCCACACAAATTTGCATTCAACCAAAGAAATACAAAAGTCTAAAACAAAGGGAAAAAGGAAGCCAAGCACATACAAACACACACACACACACACACACACGCACTGACAGCACGGACGACGGGATATTGTACAAAAAGGAAGTTGTGCGCCATCCAACAAAAACAAAAACAAAAAAAAAAGGGGTCAGAGGGCAAGGCAGACACACAGCAGCAGCAGCAGCAGCAGCAGCAGCAGCAGCAGCAGCACACACACAAAACACAAAGGAGAAACGAGTGCATTGTGAACAAATTTTTTCAACGAATTTCCAAATGTCTACAAAAAAAATCTAACAACAAAACAAAATAAAAAGAAAACAAAAAAAGACCATAAGAAATTTTGAAATTTGCTCTGTGATTTTCTATCAGAATGGTTTAACAAATAATCCACATAATAACTATAAATAAATAATATTTAAATATTTATAAATATTGCTAAAACAAAAGAAAACAAAAAAGCATTCCAAAAGCAACAACAAATACACAAAAGAAAAACAAGCTTTAAATCCAAGTAAAAAATTTCTATAAATATTAACAACAACAACAACAAAAACTAAACCAAAAAGTTTATCGATACTTAAAGCTAATTAGTGCAACTAAAGTTAGTTTAAAACGTGCAAAACTGTGAAACGAGTAGGACGGCCATCAACAAAACATAAACCGAACTCCAAACACCATCACCCCACCCCCCCGCAGTAGAGCAATCAGCAGCCATGGACGACATGCCCGATCTCTCGCATTTGACACCCCACGAGCGCATGCAGATCGAGAATGTGCTCATGCGGCAGAAGCAGGAGGAGGAGGCACAGAATGAGATAATGCGGTGAGTTTTCCGCTTTCCCCTTTGCCACAGTGATTGAATTTTTGTTGTTGTTTTATAATGGATTTTCTCTATCTCTGTCTGTGGTGCAGTCGCAAACAGGACGAGGTTGTCACGCTGGAAATGCAAATCAGGCAACGCTCCGAGCAGCAAAAGAAGGCCGGCGTCGAACTGGATGCCACCTGTCACATATGCCTTAAGACCAAATTTGCCGATGGCGTTGGACACATTTGCCATTACTGCAACATACGCTGCTGTGCCCGTTGCGGTGGCAAGGTGACACTACGCAGCAACAAGGTGAGTGTCGAGTAGTAAAGCCCATTCCCATACCCCCATTTGACAGCTGACTGAATTGAATCTTTCGCTCTCTGGAGTGTGTGTGTGTCTTCTGCCTTCAGACCCCATCAGACCTTAGACACTCGCTCGCGCGTGGCAGCAAGTAAATGCCTTTTTGGGGGTCCTTTTTTTTTTGGTTAGAGTACAGCCTCATTTTCCGCTCATTGATAAATAGGTCGGCGTTGCCAACAAACGCCAACGTCTGACGCCAATATAGCTGGCGACTGGCGGACCCCTAAGCAGCCATCACTCATACGCCCCATTGCCCCCGGTGGCAGTGCCCATTTCCATTGCTTGTCGCTTGTTGCCAACTGTCCCAAGTGACGCGTAGTGCGCGCATAAATAAACGGCCACAGTTTCCTCCACCCATCGAATGGGGGGGAAGGGGCACAGATAATTGGCGAGCGAGGCGGCAACCGAGTGGGTGAGCTCCATGAGCTCTGGGGACACAACGTCTTGGTCCCCACTGGCTTAGTGGCGCCTCAAAATTTGACACGCATTATTTACTACAAAATTGTTGTTGGGAGATAAGCTGGAATATAGGCCTTTGAGTGGGTTCATACTAAAGGTCAGAAGATCACAGAATAATAGCTTTTATTTTGGGATATTTAATGGAATTTCATGTACAAATGGAATGAAAGAAATTTAGTTTGAAAGGCCTGAGGAAACTGCTTGTACTTTAATCAAAGTCTATAAAATATCAAGAGGTTTCGACAGGAATAAGTTCCATTTAAATGTTCGGTCGATGCTGGGTGCTGGGGTGCTGCTACTTTATTTCCCTTTTTGGGCTTGCCTTCTGCTACTCGGCTTCGTCTGTTCGTCAATGCCTTGGGCAGCTGAGTCGGTACCCAGAATTCAGCAACAATATGCACATGAATCGGCCATGTGCAGAAAAGAATCTAACAACAAAATACACAATAAAGTCTTTGGCGATGCTCACAAGGAAAAACAATATACTCGTGTGAATGGTCTTTGATATAAGCCTAAGGGGATAGCTCCATAAGAACCTCAATTCCAGGCGAAAACGCAACTGACTTTGTGCCGCTGAGGAGTGTCATGAAGCGCGCGACAGGTATAGCTCAAAGGGTGATATACAAGCAGGTGAAGCATCTTAAGCGTGTTTTAAGAGCTCCAATAACTTTCATAGTTCTTGAATAATTACGTTTCAACTGAGAATTCTTTCATGCAACGTTTACACGTGACTGGCAGCATTCCAATCAGTTATTGAATGAGAGAACCATTCACTAGAGAACTTCCTACCTCCCAATCGATGAGCATACACTCTCTCTCTCTCTCTCTCTATCTATCTCTCTCTGTCTCTCTCTATCTCTCTTGCTTTTTTTGGCATTGGAATACCTTTCAACGGTCTATAGACTTCTAAGTCGCACATCCCGCAGTGCATATACCCCCGCCGCCCCTTGCAGTGCATCGCATTTCAATTACATTTTATTTTTTTTTTTCAATTTTTTATTTAACTCAGTGAACCGTGCCCGTTCGGGGGTTCCGGTTCTCTTTCCCGCCGCGAGCTTATCATCTGCTGGCCGTGTTGCCAAACGTTTTTCCATCGTTGAACTGCTGCCAAAATGTCACACAACCTCAGAGACGAAGGCAGATATGCCAGATGTTTCAACAGGGGGGGGTGTCGGTCCCCTGAGAAGGAGGCGGGGTTCTACTTTCGTTGGGCTTTGGGACGATGGGCAGGCGGTAGTAGGATGGGGTGTCGCTTATAGAATTTCAATTGGATTTACAATGGGACGACGAATCGGAATATTTCGCTGTGGTGTCCACAAGCTTGTGCCACGAAATATCACCGATATGTGGTACCATTGGAAACGCCTCAAATTTAATCGTGGATCCAAATAGTCTCCCGCACGTACAATGTGAAAATTCCAGAAGCCAGCAAAATACTCGAGAGGTAAACGCTCCACGTAGGTGACCATGCGGATGTTCCAGTTCCAGAAATGCCACATTTTCGTCCTGAAATAGAGCAGGGTTCCGGCTGCAGGTCCTTCCTGTGGCTCCTCATGTCCCTCCACATCATCCGCAATCGCAAGCAGATCGTTCAGTGTTGCCTCTTCCATATTTCTAAATTTATTTTTACAGTGTCCTACAGTTCGATTTCAAGAGACAAAAAATATTGATTGAAGTGGCAATGATAAAATGTTCACCCCTGCTGTGTTTCTTTTTGTTAGGTGATTTGGGTGTGTATACTCTGCCGCAAGAAGCAGGAGCTGCTTTCCAAGACGGGCCAATGGATCAACAAAACAGGAGGCCAACAGGACGGTTTCATCCGCCGCATCGAGCCCGATGGCAGCAGCGTGAGTACAGCGCTACATTTGAAGGCAAAAGGCAAGGCCTATAAAATATATTTCTGTACTCTTTCCTCTAGGACATCTCGCAGCAGGCCATTGTGGATCCGCATGACACGACGGATAAGCGACCCAAGCTGGAGCGTACGCGCAGTGCCGCCGAAAAGGAGAACCTGCCCATGCAACGCGCGGGCAGCATGCTACGGAGGCAGTACTCGCAGCAGGAGCAGCCCACGAATCGCCGTTTATCCATCTCGGACAGTGGCATGGATCCTATGATGAGCCCGGGGCAGCATCAACAGCATCAACAGCAGCAGCAGCAGCAGCACCCACAGCAGCAGCGTGGTCGCATGCAGCCCATGAATCCGCAGCAGTCACAGCAGGGATACGGGGGCTATGGCATGCAGCAGCAGCAGCAACAGCAGCAGCAGAGATCGGGTGGGGCATATCCAGAGGATGATCCGCGTTACTATCAGGTGGAGTAAAGATAAAGCTTTCTCTTAGTTTATATCTTATGACTATTTACCCCACCAAAAAGGGCGAACTGGATGGCTTAATGAGGCAACATCCACACCTGGCGCATCCCAGCCAAGTGCAGCCGCAACATTCGCAACAGCAGCAACATCCACAACATCAGCAGCATCCGCAGCATCCGCAGCAGCAGCAGCAACAACAGCAACAGCATCTCATGCCGCAACAGCAGCTACGTCAGTCACCGCAGCAACATCCACAAACGCAGCAGCAGCAGCAGCATCCGCAGCAGCATCTACAACAGCAGCAACAGCAACAGCACGCACAGCAGCAACATTCACAGCAGCAACAATTTGCGGCGCGACAGCAAACGTACCAGGCACAGATACACACACCACCGCAATCCCACATGCAGCAGCAACAGCAACAGCAGCACCAGCCCCAGCCCCATCCCCATTCGCAGCAGATGTCCATGTCCCAGCAAATGGTTGGCGGCTACCAGAAGGCGCCGCCGCTGACTCGCAACCTGACCATCAGCGGGGGACATGCCATGGATAGCAGCACCTACGGCCAGCATCAGCAACAGCATCAGCAGCAACATCGTAGGCCGCAGTATGCCTCACAGCAGCAGCGATCCTTTAGCAGTTCGGAGGAAGAGTTTCAGAATCAATTGCTGCAGGCACAGGCACAGGCAGCAGGGGCAGGAGCCACTGTCAGTGCGGGCTCCGATTACGATGGTGAGTTGAAACGTTTTGTCCAATTTGGATCTCTCGCTCTGTTTGTCTCTGTCTCTCTGTTGTTCTGTCCCCCCGCTCTTTGATTACCTGAGCGATCTACTCTCTCTCTCTCTCTGTCTCTCTATCGCTTCGAATTTTAATGCTCTCTTAATGTCCCATCCAACCACGTGGCTACAAGCCGCAATCAATTGACGTTTTACTTCAAAAAATTTCACTATCTCTCTCTCTCTCTCTATCTAATTTTAACTGAAAACTGTCTTTGACTCGCTCGCTCAAAATAACAAAAAAAAAAAAAACTACCAAAAATTCAAAAAAAAAAAATTAGCACTCTCTCTCTCTCTTGTCTCTCATTGGTGCGTTGTCTTTTTCTTTGGCTAAGTTTTTCCACAGCCAGTAATTGATGTGTTTTTCCAAACAAAAAAAAAAAAAAAAGAAAATCAAAAATCTTCAATGTCTTAAAACTTTAGTTTTCCTCACACTTTGATTTATTTGGTGTAAATATTTAATGTTATTTTTTTTATTTTGTGTACATACATTTTGCATATCTTTATGTGTTCTTTAAACCCTTTAAATGTTTTCTAAGTTAGACCCTAAGTTAAGTTCTTAGGCGTAAATTGTTTAAGCTAGATTTAAGCTCTTAAAGACTGCAACTTAAATTTTCGCACTTTTATTCGGTGCGGGGGAAAATGCGGGAAATTTAAGCAGCTAACTGCAGAAAGTTTGCCCACAGACCGAGTTGCCTGCAAAATGCCGGCGGGCTATAAAAATAGAGAGCAGAGCGCACATGCATGCGGTACACTGCAAAAAACAAGGTGCGGGCATCAACTACAACTTCAAAGAAATCTTAAGCTTAATATTAGAGTTAGTTTACATTTTGAGATAAAATATTAGCTCAAAAAAAGAAGAATAGCCACAACTAAGACTCTCTCTTACTCTCTCAGTGTGCGCGTATTCTCATGAAATATGGAATTTTTCCCAACCTACTTTTAAATGGGCAAATCTAGACTGAAGTTGTGCATTTGTTTCGGGTCAACTAAATACTGAGATACTACTCTTGTTTCTGCCAGTGTATAAATTCGCGCATATTTGCACACACGTGCAATGAAAGAGTACGAAGAGGAAGCAGCAGCAGCAGCAGAAGGAGGAGGAGCAAGTGGCGTAGCAGAAGCAGAATGGAAAGTAGAACGAAGAATGTTTTGTAGCGGAAACATTTCGATGCGCTTATCTTTGGTGGTGTTTGGGGGGAGGCCAAGGCACTTGACTCGACGCTCGACGCTCGACAGCAGGCAGCCGGCAGCGAATCTGTATCGGCAAAGGATGAAGTGCAAAAAGAGTGGAAAAAAGAAGAGGTAGAAGTAGCTGAAAAAAAAATAAAAATAAATTGTTTACAGTGGGGGAAACTGAAAACGTAAACGAAAACGAAGCGACCGCGCGACAAGTGCGCACTTTTGGACGCTGCATACTTTTAGGCACTTTTGTTGTGCCGTTAAATGCAATCAGCATAAATTATAGACCAGGCCAAAAACGAAATGGGGAGGTAGGAAGTAATGGAATAGTGGGACCAAAGGAACGAAAGGTGGGATAGTGGAGCAGCAGCAGCAGCACCAGCACCAGAAACGATAGGTAAGAAAGGTAGTAAAGGAAAGGAAAGTATGGCTGGGGGTGGTAGGTACAGTAGGCCCCGGGAAGGTATAAAAGGAAAAAGGAAGATGTGCCGGGCGGGCCGGGCATGAAGGTTGCCTGCCTGCCTGCCTGCCTGCCCGCTGCACACAGCTGACCCGAAAACACATTTTCCAACAAACAAGCAGCCAGCATGAGTGAGAGGGAGAGGGAACCCTGAACGACAAGCAGCCTTTCCTTTTTGGCAGCCACCACAAAACATCAAGAAGTTGGCCAAGCAGCTGCACTTGGCCAATAACTGCGGGGGACGCAGTGGCAGGGTGCGAGTGGGAAGGGGGGTGGAGAGGCTGTCCTGTCCCCATGGTTGCGCTCTTCTTCTGCACTTCATGTATTTTTTTTTGGTGTGTGTGAAAGATGCGACGGGGCGATGCTTGTCAAGTGCGAGATGCTGGGGCAAAATTTATTATCCTAATTAGAAAGTTTCTTGTTGGCACTTGCTGGTGCTGGTGCTGCTTCTGCTGCGGCTGTTGCAGTTGCAACATCCAAACCAAACCCAAGCCTTGTGGGGAAGGGGGGGGGGGGCATTCCCTGCTGCTGCTACTGCTGCTGCTCCTGCTGCGACAAGAGACTTTTCTGTATGGCTGTGTAGCGCCTACAAGTATGCAACATGCGGCGCTGGTGATTTAAATTTTTTGATTGCTGCACATTAGCGCGCAAGTTTCTGGCAAGCATGTTGCACTTGCCCCACTCCACAACTCCCCCTCTCTCTCTCTCTCGCTCTCTCTCTCTGCCCAGCTGCTGTCATTTTTCAATTTCCTCCAGGCAAACTAGCATATAATAATTATTGATTTCAACTTTGGCCTCCGCCACACCGTGTGCCACAGAGTGTGTGGCATGAAATTACGCGCACAAAAGTTGTGTCTCCCCTACCCTCACGCTGCCCTTCTTCCGTTCCTGATCTGTGTGGTGTGTGTGTTGTGTGTGCAACCAGGCCGATAAGATGGCTGGGCACCTGGTGGCAAGTTGAGGGCCAAGAGCTTATGTCTTCTCAGTGTTTTTCTGCTGTAAATTATGTGTGGCAGGGGCAGTGTTGCGAAAAACTTATGTCTGCTCCTCAGTGTTGTAAATCAAATGTCAGTGTTGCAGAATGATAAAACCAAAAGAAAACAAAAACAAAAAACAAGTAAATAAATTTCAAGAAAGAGGAAACAGAAACAGGAACAGCGAGTGGGTGTGAATGTCACTGAATGCCACAGTCTGAGTGGGTGGTATGCATTGGGCGGTACATGCCTCAGTCTGAGTGGGAGTGGGAGTGCGAGTGTGTGGCGTGTGTGTTGTGTGGGTGCCAACTCGCATGTTCTCGGTGCAGCTGCACTCAGCGGGCCCAAGCCCGAAAAACCCACCATAGCCGCCGACACGCGCCTCCGCCAAAACCCAACACTTTGTTGCCAATTCACAATGAACGCGCGGAGCGGCACGGTGGCGGTGGCACGGCCCCCAAACGTCATGCGTTGGAATGCGCTTTCCATCGGTCTTGGAAAATTCCCACACACAAAAGTGCCAGCGCATGCGCTGCTCTGGCACTGCACCCCTCCACACCTCTCTCTCTCTCTCTTTTACACCTCTTACATATTCTATGGTTTTGTAGGAGGGAGGGTGGCAGCAGCAGCAATGACAGCAGCGGTCGCAGCAGCAGCAGCAGCTGATGTTCCTGTAGAAGAGCGCGCGTAAAAGCAACAACAAAATTTGTAGTTGAACTTGAGATTTTTCTGTGCGGGAAATGTTGTGTATTGTTGTTCCGGCGGAACCAGTTGGAATGGAACTTCTTTTGCGAATTGAACTAGTTCTTTTGGGGTAAATCTAGGTAAAGTTAATTTGTAAAGCTAAATTGTACTTTTAATGGGCATAATTATGTGCAGACAGTTTTGTTGATTGCTAAATACATTTAAGGCAAATAACTTCAGGAAGCAGCAGGCCTCAAATTCAATATTAAGTAGGGTACACTTATGTATCATAATTCCCCCATGTGATGCGATAAGTTATCGTACTTTTAGACGCACTTTCTCTAGACTCATTCTGCCAGAATCCTCATTAGGCTTTGTTTTATTCAACTGCAACTAGTTCCATTGATGTTTGAAGCCAATGTTGTGGCAACTATTTATTTTCTAGTGCTCCAAATTACATGAAACACTCTCCAACTATCTCTATGTACCAATGAGATAGAGAGGTACCCCCTGTAGCTCTTCCAAATCAAAAACTGAACCCATTACTTGTGCAACTGCGTCACGTTTGTCATTTGGCTGTCGATTTATTGGACTTTAGACCCTAGACTCTTCATGCTCCACTATTTATTGTGCACTCCTTACTCTCCTCCTATGTCCCACGCCCCGTCCTGAAATGCAACCTGCCACACGACGTCATTTCATTCAGTGCATTTTGTGCTGCTCAGTGCAGCGTCATGCTCTTTACTACGAAACCAACAACTAATGCAAGTTGCAACCCCACCCCCAACCGTATCAACCTAAACCCACCATGCAACCAACACGCGCGCGCCTACGCTGCACCACCCCCGCCCACACCACACCACACCACACCACACCAAACCATGCCACACCATGCCACCCAGCAGCAGGATAGGCACCCTCCCCTTGACTGGAAAGCAAAGACAAACACGTTGCTTTTGCCTCTGTTTTGCCTTGAAGGTGGGCAAAGGCAGTGCAAAGACAAACACAACACGAGAATGGAGTCCAGTCTTTGGCCCACCCACCCGTACTCCCCTGTAGAGCAACCCGCTGACCCCAACGGTGGGGCAGCAGCTGTCAATGTTATCGCTGCTGGCGTCGCAGTGGCCGCTGCAGTCGGCGCTGGCTGTGGCTGTGGCAGCAGCAGCAGCAGCAGCGTGGCCACGCGCTTAACTTTATTTTTAGTTCGGGACTGGAAGCGCCATGGGAAAGTGCCCCTAACGGTGTGGCGGCAGCAATCGCGTTGTAACATTGTTATTGGAAAATGTGTTGTAGGCTCTCGCTCTCCTCCAGCGAAAGAGAACCGAACGGAACGGAACGGCTGACTGAAAGTGAGACTGAGACAAGCAGCAAGGGAAAGCTGCTTCGGCTTCTGCTTCTGCTTGTGCTGCTGCTGTAGGGAAAAGGCTGTAGGAAATGGCAGCGTAAAAGCAAAAATTCCATTGAGATTTTTGGTATGAAATCGAAACGAAATTAGTTTTCGATGAACTTTAAAGGCGAGTAAACACACTGGCCGCAACGGACCCGCTCACGCATGTGGCACGTGTGTGGCAAGCAAATCAACAAAAAACAAAAAGAAAAAACCAAAATACTACAAAATACACACACCGAATAAATAGCACGAAAGCAATGCATGAA